CAAAGACAAATCCCTGGAGAAAATGAAGAACACCAAGATCAAACAACAATGAAGTGAAGAACACCAAGATCATCAACAAGCTAAATGAAGAACACCATCAACCATCTTCATCTTCTTCATTGAAACTCAAGGTTCTCATCTTCACTATCCTTGTTCATCACACCATTTACCACCAAACACCTCCCTTATATTAACCTCCTTCCAATCTCAAAATAATCTCCAAACACCCTCCAAATACCTCCTTAAACCTCTTCCAAAAACCCTTTCAAATCACCACAACCATCACCACCTTGCTGTTTTTCGACATCAGAATCTTCAAGTCAAAAACGAAGAAAACTGGGCTCGTTACAAGCACAAAAAGACTAGAGAGATTTTCAGCATCAATTCTTCAGAACATTACCTACATCTAGAAATTTTCGTGGACGATTTTGACCACGGGAAACCCCAAAGAGACGCGAGAGAGAATTGGCTATCCAGAGAGATTTTTGTTTTCGAGTTCAGAATCTGCATGTTAGAAAACAAAAAACCGAGCACAACACAGCCAAAATAAGACTAGGGAGATTTTCACCACAAATTCTTTAGAACCTTACCTACATCTAGGAATTTCGTGGACAATTTTGACCACGGAAGCCCCAGAGAGACGCGAGAGAGAAATGGCTATCCAGAGAGATTTTCTGAAAACTGAAGGTTTTTAATCTGTGTATGCAAGGATCTGCGCGAACACGACCCGTTTGTTTTTGCCTAAATCAACATGACCCGTGTTCAGGATTTTGACATTTAAAACCTTCTAAAAACCTCCTACACGACCCGTGTCACTTGTGCCTTATTCTACACGACCCGTGTTCAGAAGCTTCATCAAGAAAACCCTCCAAAACCCTCCTACACGACCCGTGTCACTTGTGCCTTATCTTACACGACCCGTGTGCATGTTTTTACCCAAAAATACTTCAACTACAAATACATAAACCCATGTATTTTGTACCCTTTTGTAAACACTTGTTTTACATAAAATCGAGCTTTAAATGAACTTTTTGTTACTTATCCAATGCCGGATTGATCTTTGAACAAATATCAACCAGTCGCTCCAAGAGTCCCAATATCGACCAGTCCATTCAAAGAACAAATATCGACCAGTCGCTCCATAAGTCCAGTTCAGTCAATTTATTGACGAACCTACTTGATATATATTTATATATTTATATACTTTATTATAGCTTTATGTCATTTAAATATAGTCATTTAAATACAGTCATTTATATTATTTATAGCTTTACGTCATTTAAATACAGTCCTTTATATTATTTATAGCTTTACGTCATTTAAATACAGTCATTTATATTATTATAGCTTTCAGTCATTTATAGCTTTTATATTTATACTTATTCCGCAATTATTATTCTTTATATATATTTACATCTTATATCTTAAACTTATATATCTATCACACAGTAACTGGTAACCGAGCCTTTTGTTGTAGTGGTCAGATTTTTATATTTCCAACCATCGGTATCTGAGCTGATATATAAAAGGAATAATATCCAACACCTACAAAGTCTTCAAAGGTGCTCCAATGCTCCTTTAATCATCCATAGCTCGAATCCTCGTCGCCTCGTCATCATTCTCGTCCAAATTTTAAGTCCAACTTGCTTTCTTGTTTATGTTGACACCAAGCCTAATCGCACCACTTTAAGTCCACAAGCAAACCGTAAGCCTCCAAAAGTCCAGCACGCCTCCCTACCACCAATAACAAAAAGTCTTCAGTAAATCCTGAAATTATGCTCAAAAGACTATAAAGTAGCCGATAAAGGTGAAAAATTACAAAAACGGAAAATATGCATAAATATGTACTAAAATGAGATGGAATGAACTAAAAATAAACTAAGAAAAGAAGTAATAAAATGAAACTATCAAATCACCCCATGCTTAAACCTTACTTGTTCTCAAGTAATACAAGACTAAAATGAACTTGATATGAACTATCCTAAAAAGGAAAAAGAATGAACATCTTAGGCATAAATTCTTGAACACACCCTTAAAATAAAAACATATAATCCATTTTTAGGAATAAGAACCGCTTTATAGGATGCGCCTTTGTAACTTTTCTATCAAGGGATACATGTTGAACAAGATACAAGATAAGCATGCATACTTCACTATTTTGGTTTATGTGACACTATTTCGTGGTCCAATCTATCCCACAGGCCATAAGAAAGCGTTCATCAATTAGAATGTTCCTTACTCCTCACAATTCCAACCCCACGCCAAGGAACAAGACCTAGGAAAAGATAACTCATGCCAAAAATGGAAAGGAACGAGCTATGTACAAAGGTTGACAAACTATAATCATCTAGAAGAATAAGTGCTTCCACCAAAATAAGTTCCATGTAGAGCGAAGAATCGAGCACGCGATAAGCAAAGGGAACCATTGTACTTGCCATCAAAAGATGAAATCTAAACTAGAAAAACATAAAACTAGAAACAAATTACATGAACTAAAATCCAAAAGTTCTAAACATCTAACAAATGAAAAATGGATGTAACTCTGTGGCCCGACCTTTTTTTATGGACAAAAAAACCCCAAAGATACAATTACAAATACAAAATGTTTGAGCTACTAACAAAAAATCTATAAAAAACAATGAAGGAAACAGTAATTTGTTTTTAACTACATTCGCATTTTATAATTGCGATAATATCCGAATTTTCAAAACGATTATATATATATATATATATATATATATATATATATATATATATATATATATATATATATATATTAAAGACTCTAAAAGACTAAAATCAACAAAAATAAAGTTCACACTTCATATAAGATCAAAACTTGACTTCTCCAAACAAAAATAAACACATATGAGACTTCACATAGCACATACTAAATACTAGACTTCTACTAAAATTTTTCGAACATTAGTGCAAAATTTTTCGAACCGAAATTTTAAAACAACTTGACTTTGACTTGTGAAACATAAAAACAAAACTAGAAAAAATGGGTAGTTGCCTCTCTCTTTCTCTCTCTCTCTCTCTCTCTCTCTTTCTTTGGGGGCTCACTTTTTGGTTTACCACAGGAGTTTTACATATATAGATGAAATAAAAATAAAGCATAACTATATACAAACTATAAGTGATAACTAAATCTAACCCAAACAAGAGGCCAAACGAGCGAATCTAAAGAAACTAAGTGAAAAAGTTGGGCACAACTACACTAAGGCTAATAGTGGGGAAAATGTGTCTAAAGAATAAGGTGATGAGATATGATGTGTAATGTAGAAGATAGACACTAAGGATCTCAAAATAGCAAAATCTAGCTTGTATTCCTCTCTTTGGGGTTCGATTGTGGCTTGTAAGGAACATGCAGGTGAGGAACTAGTTGATACGAGGCTAAGTTGTCGCCCTACTTATGCCACACTTGTCATGAGTCGATTCATATGCATAACTACTTGTACTCTCTCCCCATGTATATATAAAAGAATACGCAATAACTGAAAGTCTCTAAGATCGATTCTTATTTGTTATGTAAGTTTCAAAAAAAATTGTATTTAAGGTGTGTCGAGTCTTTCAAGTAAAGATGTTCAAGGATAAGAATAAATAGATAACAAAAAAATGCATGAATGCTAATGCCCTAATCCAAATGTTATGCAAAAATAAAAAGTGAAAAAGAAGATAATAAAATATTTTTGGAGTTTTATAAATAAAATTTAATGCAAATTAGCTTGAACTAATATGTTATGCAACCTAAAAGAATGCATGAAAAGGTAAAAGAAAAGGGAATACCCCACCCCCAAGCTTAGAAATAAGCATTATCCTCAATGCTTGGGGTGAGGAGAAAGTACCAAAACTGGGGCTCAGGAGGAGGATATGGGTATTGAGGGTAAGGGTAAGGGTAGGGTGGAGGGGAGAGGGTAAGTGGGGGGAGGGTATGGATATGGAGGAGGAAGTGGTACATTCTCAAAGTGGTTTTGTGATTGGTGTCACCCCCACATATGGTGCAGTTTTTGTGACATCATCTGGTTGGAGACACAAAGACCCTCGAACCATTCGGCAAAATTAGGGGAAGCGGGTAATATTCGAGATGTGCTTGGGGTTGGGTTTGTTGTGGACCATGTGTGGGTTCATCATCGGACTCGTCATCCATATGCATCCTGTCATCATATCGAGCATGGAGTGCATCCTCATTGAATGTCTGGATGATGGTCCTCTCAAGTCTCCACTGAGTGCGATTGTGGAAAGTGAAGTTAAAGACTCGAGGGTCGAGAAGAATAAGATATCAAACCCCTTAAGGAGAATACCATGTAAAACCATCTCTACTCCTATGATAGATGTGATGCATGTTTGTTAGAACATGCTCATCCAAAATAATTTTGTTGTCTACAGGCATGTGGTCGTCCGGGAGCTTGATGTTAAGACCGCGGTCTAAAAGGGTGACAAATCCTCCAATGCAAATATCACCGGATGCTTTGGTTTTCATGAGTGCACATTTGTAGAAAAAGAACGAGGCAAAATCTAGGATCGAAGGGTTTTCATGTCATGTCATGCACCAAAGGAAGAATAGCTTAATTTTCGTGACTTGACCAACTTCTTTACAGGAAAAGACAGTGCACACCAAGATATGATGGGCAATGCAGAGGCACAGGTGAATGATGGAGGTTTCCTTATCGCGGTCAACACAAGAAAAGATCCCACCAGTAATTTATGTCCAAAAAGTCTCATGGTTGAACTCGGGAGGCAGTGAATCAAAATCCACGAATGTGTTCGAGGTAGGTAAGCCCAAGATGTTATTTATCCTTGCGAAATCGATGTGCATCGACTCTCCCATAAGTTGGAATGTACCTTTTTTTCTCTCGTTGTCTAACCCTCAGTCAGCAAGGAACTCTGTAGTAAGGAGTTGGTATGTATGTGCCATGAGATTGAGAAGATTTTTCCACCCAATGTTACAAAACAATTGAGTAACCCCATCAAGAACCCCTAACGAAATAAGTGTGGACCTGGACATAAACTTGATTGAGGCATCTCTTCTCTGAAAACTCTTTCTATAGTTTTCAGTCGCCTTTATGTCTCTGAACCTTGGAATGTCGGGTTCCTCATTTTGAGCTATAGCGAGAGCTTGGCCTCGGATGGCAGCCGAGCGCTTTCTTGACGTAGACATGACTAACCTGCAAGCAAATTTACAACCACACGGACCAACAATTCCAAAAAATAATAGTGTAATTCAATTCACCAATCGACTCCCTATGGACTTCTAAAAAGGGTCAACAACTAATGTAAAATATATTTCCTAGACTCATTTGAAGCAATGCCATTTAATTTATCATTCTAAAACATGCATACGGATTAGTTAATGTCAGGGAAGGAATGTACCCATTGGCAACCACGGATTTTGAAAATCAAAAATTGCACGCGAAAATTTAGGATTTGAAAATCTTGCAATACTCCACCCCAAGCTTGACGCTCTACTCAATACTCCATGAGAACTAATTTACCACGAAAACCCGAGAAATCCGGCAACGGGTTAAAATTCCGGCGAAATTTTCCGACGAGCTTTGAGAAATATTTTTAGTGGGATTTGTAGCCTAGACCGAAAGGAACACAATGGTGGTGTTGAGATTTTGATAGGTGGTCGGAGGTGGCCATAAAATCGAAGAGAGTGGTCGCCGGTCTTGATTTCGAGGGTGGATCGGGACAACATCTCGGTGGGAAATGTAGAGCTTGAAAAATAGAAGATAAAAACGCTAGTTTCACTCGATTCTGATCGGTGGTGTGATAGGAAATCAATTTTTTGTGTTTAAAAATGGAGGTTGGAGAGAGAAGAAGAAGAAGAATGAGAGAAGAAGGAATGGCTGATAGGGTTTCGTGGCTTAATGATTGGTCAAACTCGGTCAATGCATAGGTCAACGAAAGTCAATGACTCATGCAGACATTTTTTTGGAGTAAACGCGGTCTGTGTGAGGTGCTCTAAAAAGGTTCTTAATCGCAAAGATGACACGGTCGTTTTAAGGGGATGCACATGGACTGTTTGTGGTGCACGTAAACAAACCTTCGAGTACAAGCGGACCATTTGTGAACCCATAAAAATTTCCGAACCTTCACGCTTGACCAAAACAAACACCAGGGCCTCAAAATTCAACACGCTTTCACTGCAAGAAGGAAGAAGAAATTTGGAATGCAAAAAAGATTTGGCTAACATTTATTTGGAATTGAAAAGGAAGAAAGCACAATGCTTTCCAAAAATGCCCTTCTTTAACGTCTTTGGTGAGACATCCTTCCCTCTCGGTTTCAGTATACTGGGGCATCCAATCGGATGACATCTAAGACATTTGCATTAAAACCTTCGTAGAAAGGTTTCAAACGATGCCCTGAAGATTTTCCCCGTTTCTTCACTTTAGATCTCCACATCTCCATGTTCACAGGCTTTTAGCACAACAAATAGACCTGTCTAACTTGACCTCGATTTTCTAAGAAATAATTTCAAACGGGAATGGTATAGTAAGAGTCTGTATCCCAGCTTGAAATGTTTTCGGGTGATGGACTTGTCATGGTAAGTTGTGGTTTTCTCCTTGTATATCCTTGTATTCTCTTCAAATTCATTCCTCAATTCTTTTAACTCTTGAAGTTGAAGCTTCCTATGTCTTCCCGCTTCACCAATGTTGAAGTTGCATTGCTTGACCGCCCAAAATGCACGGTGCTCCAATTCCACGGGAAGATGACACAGTTTTCCAAAAAACCAACCTAAATTGAAACATGTTTATCGAGGTCTTGTAAGCAGTTTCATAGGCCCATAAGGCATCATCAAGCCTCGAATTCCAATCGTTTCTTGTTGGGTTCACCGTCTTCTCAAGGATAGACTTCGCTTCTCGATTCGAAACCACCGCTTGACCATTCGTTTGGGGGTGCTAAGCGGTAGAGACGCGGTGGGTCACGTTGTATATACTCAATAAAGTCTCCATCATCTTACTGAAAAAATGCATCCCTCTATCACTAATCAAAGCCTACGCATACCAAAACTCACAAATATATTAGATTTTAAAAAGTCGATAACCGTTTTGGCATCATCCGATCTTGTAGCTTTGGCCTCAACCCATTTTGAGACATAGTCAACTGCGAGTAAAATGTAAACGTTACCAAATGAGACGAGAAATAGGCCTATAAAATCAAACCCCCATACGTCAAAACTTCACAAACAATGATTGGATTTTTTGGCATTTGATTCTCTTGTGAAATGTTCCCCGCCCTTTGGTACCATTCACAACATTTGCAAAAAAATAACAATCATGTGACATGGTTGGCCAAAATAATCCACACTCAAGAACTTTCCTCAAAGTTCGGTTAGGTCCGAAGTGTCCCCCACAAGGAAATTCATGAAAAAAATTGTAAAACGGATTGATGTTCTTGTTGGGGTACACATCTCCTGATAATTTGATCAGGATAATGTTTCCATAAATAAAGTTCATCCCACACATAATATTTTGTATCACTTTTCAATTTATCTTTTTGATCACGTGTGAATGTGTCAAGATACCTTTTCGTGACCAAAAAGTTAACGATATCAACAAACCAAGTAATAGAGTGAGTAAGGGAAAAGAGATCCTCATCCGGAAACTCGTCCCGCAACAGGAAAGGAGTCTCGTTTGAAGTGATCCAGCTTAGATGATCGGCAACAAGGTTTTCGCATCCACGCTTGTCCCAAATTTCCAAATCAAACTCTTTCAATAGTAGGATCCACCGGATGAGTTTTAGCTTTGCATATTTCTTCGTCATCAAGTACTTGAGGGCCGCATAATTCGAATACACAATAACTTTGGTACCAAGTAGATATTGCCTAAACTTCTCCAAAGCGAACACTATGGCCAATAGCTCCTTCTCCATGGTAGAGTACTTGCTTTTAGCATTGTTAAGTGTCCTTGATGCATAATAGGTCACATGAGTGGCTCTTCCATTCTTTTGACCCAAAATAGCGCATATAGCATAGTTGCTTGCATCATACATAATCTCAAAGGGGAGATCCCAATTTGGTTCTTGTATAATGGGGGCAGATATAAGCAACTCTTTAAGCTTGTCAAAAGCCTCTTAGCATGCCACATTAAACTCAAAATCAACATCATTTTGCAAGAGTTTGCATAGTGGTCTTGTTATTTTTGAAAAATCCTTGATGAACCTTTGTTAGAATCCCGCAAGACCTAAAAAAGAATGAACTTCCCGAACACAAGTTAGGTAAGGTAAGCTTTGAATGACATCAGTTTTAGTCTTATCTACATCGATTCCTTTCTTTGACACAATATGACCCAAAATAAGACCTTGAATCACCATAAAATGACATTTTTCAAAATTTAAGACCAAGTTCGTTTGAATGCACCTTTTCAAAATTTTGCCGAGATTGGTCAAACATTCTTGAAAAGAGCTTCCATACACTGTAAAATCATCCATAAGAACTTCAATTATGTTTTCAACATATTCCGAGAAGATACTAACCATACAATGTTGGAAAGTGGTCGAGGTATTACAAAATCCAAATGGAATTCTCTGGTATGCAAAAGTTCCAAATGGACATGTAAAGGTTATCTTTTCTTGGTCTTCCGGTGCCACCGAGATTTGGTGAAAACTAGAATACCCATCTAGATAACAATAACGAGACTTTTTGGACAACCTTTCTAACATTTGGTCAATGAAAGGAAATGGAAAATGATATTTTCTTGAGCTTGCATTAGGTTTGCGATAATCAATACATATTCTCCACCCATTTTACACGCGGGTGGGGACCATTATACCTTTGATCTTCTCGACCACCGTGATTTCAATATTCTTCGGGACTACTTGCACCGGGATCACCCACTTGTTATCTGATATTGGATAGATCATTCCCACATCAAGAAGCTTCAATGTCTCTTTCTTGACCACTTCCATTATTAGCAAATTTAATCTCCTTTTTCACATCTCGGCTTGGTTTGCATTCGTCCTCCATAAATTTTGTGCATACAAGTGGAGGGGCTCAATCCTTTGAAATCCCTAATCTTCAAACCCATTGATTATTTATGTCCCTTCAACACCTTGAGGAGTTTCTCTTCTTCAAATTCAGTTAAGTGAGTTGAAATGATAACTGGAAGAGTTTCATTATTTCCCAATTATGCATACTTCAAGTGTTGAGGTAGGAATTTTAATTCCAATTCCGATGGTGGAATTAGGGAGGGTGGCAATTTCATGTGAGTTTGAGGTAATTCATTTTGCTTCACACTACATCGAGTAGTTTTCTTGATCTCCAAATTGTTAACCAACCTTTCAACTTTCGAGTCTAATGAGTAGAGATTCAACTTCTTGGATAGTTTCCCACAATTAAATTTGTTGCTTAAAATCATCTCCGACGTGTAACCATTAGACAACTCAAACATTTCTTGGGTTAGGAGTTCAAGAACATCAACAAATCACAAGGATGAAACATCACTAGGATATCTCATGGCATCATAAATGTTAAAACTTATTGTTTCACCATCAAACTCTATTGTTAAACTTCCTACATACACATCGATTTTTGTCCTAGCTATCTTCAACAACGGTATCTGAAGTAAAATTAGGGCTGATTTGGAGGACATTTGTTCTTCTAAATCAATCACATAGAAATCCACTGGAAAGACCAATTGGTTTACTTGTACTAAGACATCTTCTAGGACACCTCTAGGAAAAATAATTGATTTATCTGCAAGAGAAATTATGACACCGGGTTCATTTAAAGGCTCAACATTT